TTGTTTCAATTTTGCAAAGTATCTATTCCCTGGGTTTTCTTCATTCCTATTTTTTATTTTTTTTTCCAAGATTTTCAAAGTAATTTTGGCCAAAAACGATTATTGAATTACTTTTACAAGGTGCCAGGGTTTAATTCTTTGAATCAATTAGGCAAAGTTGGCAAATGACAATTGTTAGGCTTATTAGGTAATTTTATTTTTAGAATTAGGTTTACGATGCTCTAGATTTATAGGTACTTTTATTTTTAAAAGTTTTAATAAATCAATAAAAGAGGTTTTCAAACAAAAGTTCAAGCTTCCTTTTTGAGGAACATGTCTGGTCCACAACAATTTGCAAAAGCAAAGAATGGAAAACACTAGTTCTGCATTTTTTTTCATTTATTTTTTACCTTTTGTAGAAAAAATGTTTTCTTCACTAGAAATAAGGTGTGGGATTAACTACTGCACTTCAGCCTAAACTATTATTTACTACTACCCCACAAGTAAGTGTTACTAAAAACTAAAGTGTACCAGTACAACACACTAGTATACATTGGCAAAAAGAGGAAATCATGCCTAATCACCAAGGCCACATGCTCTCCATCTCTACTCACTCAGAGGGATTGTACCGCAGATGTTGCTCATAGAAGTTTATCAGCTGCACAGTTTAGCAAAACACACCACATAACTTACACTTGTTCTTGAACAAAATCAGACTTGAAAATGGGAAAATTTTGCGGACCAGAAGTGGATTGTTTGCCTTTAGAAATTTGCTGTCCACCGTTATTAAATTATGCATGTTCTTTAGTATTTGCCAATTATTATATTTGTGTTGCTCCAAAACCTATGGATCGGTTTTTTTGCATTGAGAAACAGGAATAGTTTATATGATTTTTGTTCTATTTCACGTATGATGTAAATTGATTTATGGTTGACTGGATACTATCATAGAGATGGAAGATTCACAAGAGAATGGTAAACGAAAGGATTATAAAACTTGGTCAACCGAAGAGAGTAACATATTGCTGCAATTGATGGTTGATGGAGCAAAACGTGGTCTACGTGATGTTAATGGAGTCATTACCAAACAAACGGTGGAAAAGAAACTTCTTCCAAAACTTAAGGAAAAACTTGGTTATGAAATTAGTTTTAGTCAATATCAAAGTAGAGTGAAATGGTTTAAGAAACAGTACTCTAATTACTCTAAGCTTCTATGCCATAATTCTGGATTTGGGTGGGATGCAACCACAAAGAAATTCACTGCTCCTAATGAAGTATGGGAGGATTACTTAAAGGTGAGCTAATATTTTTCTTCAATTTTTTGCATTAAGTTAATGCTTGAAATCATGCTCACAATTTGAGCGTTTTTGTCCTATCAGTCCAATCCAACACATGGATTTTTTCGGACTGATACTTTTTCAGATTATGATGACTTGAGAATCGCGGTAGGAAATGGAACCGCAACAGGCATGACTGCAATTGGCCTTGGCAATGACACAGATGCCACTATATTAGAAGTAGAAGAAGAAGATGAAGTTGATGGGTTTGAGTCCATAGACAAGTTAGTCTTTGATGAAAATACTAATGCCTTCATACAAACTGATCTAACTTCACCAGAACCTACAAAAAGTTCAAACACAGAAGATCAACATTCATCACACAATAACGTCCAAGGAAAAAGGAGCAGAGATGATTTTGAAAATAGAAAAGGAAAAAAGGTTAGTAGAAGTCAAGATGAGGTGTTAGTGAACTTGTCAAGTGGGTTTGAAAGAATTGTTAAGAGCTTTGATAAAATTTGTGGCCTGATGGAGAAGAGAGAGTCAAGAGAGTGACCTTTTGGATGCGATGAAGGAGACGCCGGGACTAACTGATGATGAATGCTTTATGGCTCTTGATTTGCTTAACACCAAAGCAAAGCAAGATTTCTTCTTGAAGATGACTCCTGAACAACGATTAAGTTGGATCATCTCTAAACAAATGCAGTAGTCTTAAGAGTTATTTTAGCAATAGATACTTTTTTTACGTATTTGTTTGGAATAATTTTTATTCTTATTAGTAGTTGAGACTTGTGTGTTTTGAATTACACCATATACTTTGATGATTTTATTATATATGCGAATTGACGTACCCTATTTATTTGTTTTTTTCTTGTTAAGCTATGTCTGAAATAGATCTGTATGGAGCCGATGAAGATGAAGTAGAATTTTATGAGGCAGTTAAAATATTATTATTAGCAATAAAAGCAGTTATTTCTGTGATACATAACCTCCTTTTGGACCTTGGTGGGGAACCTGTTGGACGGCCATTGACTCGTCGATCAGTGAGTTCTACTGGATACGAGTACATGCACAAAATATTAGATGATGACCCTCATAAGTTTAGAATGCTATTCAGAATGTACCCAGATGTGTTTCGGAAATTATGTTTTATCCTAAAAGAGAAAACACCTTTAAGAGACACAAGGTATATTTGTGTTGAAGAAATGCTTGCAACTTTTTTGCTAGTTGTCGGTCAAAACAATCGTTATAGTGAACCTAAAATGATATTTCAACGATCACACTTCTCTATTAGTAGAAGTTTCAACAAAGTGTTGAAGGCTTTGAATACAATAGCACCAGATTTTATGGCTAAGCCAGAGTCCGTACCATACATCATCAGAGAGAGCACAAGGTTTTATCCTTACTTTAAGGTAAGTTATGAAAATTAACACTGACATTAGACCATCTTAATTATACACCAATAAATATACATTTTTTTTGTAATTCATTTTTTCAGGATTGCGTTGGAGCGATAGACGGCACCCATATTCCAGCAATGGTAGTTGGACGTGAAGTGAGTAGTTATCGCAATCGTCATGGGACTATATCTCAAAATGTCTTAGCTGTATGCAATTTTGATCTGCAATTCATTTACGTGCTTAGTGGATGGGAGGGTTCTGCCCATGATTCAAAAGTTTTAAATGATGCGCTTTCTAGACCAAATGGGCTCAAAGTGCCATCAGGTATATATTTTTTCTTCTTAAATTGAGTCTCTTATTATTGCAATTTATGCAACACATAAATGCATACTTATTAAATAATATTTTCATGAATAGGTAAATATTACTTGGGAGATTGTGGTTTTCCAAATCGTTGTCAGTTTTTAACACCGTTTCGAGGTACTCGATACCATCTTAAAGATTTTGGCGGAGGAGGAAATCACCCTACCAATGCACGGGAGTTGTTCAATCTTCGACATTCTTCCTTAAGAAATGTAATTGAGCGAATATTTGGAGTATTCAAGTCACGATTCACAATATTCAAAACAGCACCACCATTTTCCTACAAAACACAAGCAGAACTTCTTTTAGCGTGTGCGGGACTACACAATTTTCTTCGACGTGAGTGTCGTTCAGATGAATTTCCTCCAGCTCCGGATGAAGACACAACAAATGAAACAGATGAGAGTTATGAATGGGATGATACTCAAACACAAGATCAACAACGAGAGAAAGCTAATGAATGGAGATTGAATCTTGCAAATGAAATGTGGGCAACAAGTAATAGTGAAAATAGTTAATTCTTTACTTTATTTGTTTTACAATTAGATATGTTTTCATTTTTCTTGAAACATTTGATTGAGATGATGAGTTTTATACAATGCAATGTTTTTATTATCTATTTTATTAGTATATTTACTTTTCCCTTGTGTGCTAGGTCAAATTTTATTTTACATTATCAATTAGTATTAAAAATAATACAATTAGAATTATTTGGTAAAAAATATTTTAGAAAAATTATTTTAGTTTATTTTATATAAAATAATATATATATATTTTATTTAAGTGCAAAAAATAACGCTGGACGGACATAATTCAATGGTGGAAGTGAAATCTATAAAATTATTCAAATAAAAGTCTATAGACTTGTTAAAATCCATGGAAATTATTTATATAAAATCAATGACTTTTAAAATATCAATAGAAGTCTATGACTTTCAACACAAGTCCATAGACATGAATAGAAGTCATTGATTTTAAAAATATGAATACAATTCCTTAAACAATACACCCCCTTAGTCTCAATAATTCGAGATTCTTCATTTACAGAGATTTAGAAGATATATTCCTGTTTTTAGTTTCCAGTTTTTGGTATCACAATGTAGCAGAAAATGACAAACACCAGGGCCCACAACATCCCAAAACTTTTGATAGAAGGCATGATTTAAACCATTTTGGCCTAGAAACTAGTCTGGGTGCATATCAAAGAGTGCAGATTTCACTTCCTCTTCGCCAAACGGGCGAAGCAATAACTAGTTATGTGTAGCTTCCACTTTGGATTGCATCTCATCAAATACCATAGATGGCCCCCCACCTTCAAAACGAAGGATATGTTCAAAGTAGTTAGTGACCACCACGAGCAACTCAACCACATCCTTCCAAGCCCTCGTCCAATCACGGACCTGGTGATTGCGATTCTTTTTTTCTTCGATGGTTAGCATATTGGTGAAAACACCTGGCATTGGCGTCCGTAGGATGTAGCTAGTTTTGTGCTGCCAATTTACACATCCTCGTGTCTGCATCAACTTAATTAAATTTTTGTCTCCAACAGCATCCCGTTTACCTCTCCACCCCTCCATCGTTGAAAGGCATATGCACTGAAATCCTCCACGAACGTGTAACAACATCCCTGCACTCAATTCATGGACCTTTATAACACAATAAGAGGGCACAGTGATCTGACCATTGCATGGAAAACAAAAGCTTCCATAGGACGATTCCTTCAGTTAAAAGACACCACTGCCCGGTCTAACCACTCCTCCACCAACGTGAGCTTTCCAAGACTCTATTCCCACGTGAAAAGATAGCCTTTCATCCCGGTGTCAAACCCTCCAACGTCACCTTGAATCCCCCCCCCCCCTCCTCTTTTCAGAACGAGCACACGTCATTAAAATCACCAATGATCAGACAAGAAAATAGTAGTATGACTTTCAGTGTTTATATAAGTAAATCGTTTTTCCAAGGTCTGATATGTACATCTGTACAAGCACTCATATAGGTAGCAATTCAGCATTTTTAAAATGCAATCGTCACACAGCAAATTACAACACTCAATTCTTAGTAATGTCAACAGTTTTATTGTGCTAATAAATTCTTTCTAGTGAGACTGCAAACAAAATGATCTCTACAAGAGAGATTTTACAACAATACATAGGGCAGCTTCTAAGTCATCTCAACCATGACCTAAAAGGCTGCCATGAAATAAAGGCTAACTGAATTTTACAATGTGCATGAATTGCACCACTAAATGTGTGCACTGCTGTGGTAGGGTGGAAGAGGGGGAAAAAACCTCAACAGCCCTTTATAATGCTAGCAACGTTTTGTCCAATCTGCTCCTTTGTTTTCTCGCAAATAGGAAAATCACCAATGTACATATCAAAAAATGCCCCTGGGAAAGAAGACTAGATAGCATAAATATCTTTTCAGGCCAATTTCATTCTGAAAGAGACTAGTTGTAGTTATCTTGAGTCGCCATTGGATAGCTCATTAAAAAACTGAACATTTTCAATAATAAAAACCTAAGACCAGAACCACTTACTACACAACTCCTTGCTATGAACTGCTCCGATATGATTTCCACCAACTGCATAAACAAAAGACCAATGTTAAGGTAAAATAAGCCCAAATTGCATCCCTGTGTTGTCTAAGTGAGACATGAACTTACTCTCGGTGATTAAATGCCCATCAGCCGTACGCCGAAAATTGATTGTTGTCCCCTAAAATTTTTATATTCATACAAAAGATTCAATTACATAATGCTATGTTGTGTGTGTGTGTGGGGGGGGGGGGTTATGCAATAACAAACAGGTCCTTACAACATGTAAAGGAATGTCGTGTGAGAAAATAGAGCCAAATCTTTGTATGCAGTGAAAATCAGTATCCGGGTTTGTCTGAAAATGTCAATTGTCAATATTTGAGCTTAACATTACTTCAATGGAAACAATCACCCACAACAACTGACCTTCAACAATCGAGCACGCAGAGATTTCTCAAAAACACTGCCATGGAAAAATAAAAATTAAAACCTTAAAACAAGAAAACTTCATCACTGTCTTAACGATACAATTCTGAAACTAGATAAATGCATAATATTGACTTACTCCTTGACCGTTTTAAACTTGATTCCATTGCAGCTAACCACAAGCCTAACAGTCATGTTGATATCCTCCCTGCATGAAGGCGACAGATAAACATGAAGCGGTTGCAGCTTCGTTTTCTATGTTGGAACACCCAATATGTACACAGTACACTAGTCAAAATTATATGATGTATTGATGTAGCAACATTCTCATTTGTGGGTAACAAATATCATCTTAATTAAAGGGTTTCTGCTGCAATGTTTGCCAAGGAACACTGAGGCAAAGGCCAAGACATAGTTTACATTGGAAGTTTCATTCTTTAACTAAAATAAATAACAATTCTAATAAAATATACTTTGTAGCTACCTCAAAAGATCCTGGTAAAACTCAGACAGGTTGTTCAGCTCACATGCGGGAACAGAAGCGTATTTCTGACCTAACTTCTGGCAGACATCATAGGGATGAACATCTAAGGATAATGCACAAACAGATCAAGTGTCAAGGATTAAATTTGGAGAAATAATACAAGCAACAAATATGTTTCTGTACACAAAAGGGGAACTCACAAAACCCAAAGGCATACACCTTCAAAGATTTGATTCTGATAACAGTCATAATACGAGATCCTGTTCCAACAAGGACCTGAAATGTACAACCTTTATTGTTTACATTCCTAAATTGTCACTCAATGAAGTGCAGATTTGATGTCATATGATCACCTAAAATCATCATTTAGAAAGTACAGCTGAGTATAAAATCAGCATAAATTACATTTGAGCTTTTTCTCCATCAAACTAGCTTGTAATCCTTTTAGTCTATTATGTTTAACAAACTATACTATGTACAAGTTTTAATTCCAAATATCATCACCTTAACCCAAATTATGTTGGGAGCCGTTACATAATTAATCCCTAGCAAAATGAGGTTCCCATTCAGTATTCACATGTTCAAACCTTATCCACTTTCTTTGCCTACTTTCGTTACTCATTTGATAAAATAATTATAGTGATGTGACCTCTTGTTTTGTAGAACTTTTGATGTAGTTCTCTCATATATAAACTTTATTTTTTAAATTTAACATCAATTTTTAAATAAATCAAATTGAAAATAACTTAAATAAAAAATCTTACACCAACCCAGGATCTTCATTTTGGGATGGAGGGAGTATGTAAATATATCATCACATGTGTGCTTGCTTCTTTCGTGCTCCTCTTCTTTGTCATGCCCTTTTCCCTTACATGTTTTCTTGAGTTACTATTTTTTTGAGTCGGGGGTCTTTGGGAATTACCCTCTACTTTCCAAGTAGGGGTGAGGCAACCATGCACTCACCCTCCCCCAATTTTATTGGGTATGTTGTTGTTGTATCACAACAGATATGACTCACAAATTGAGATCTGTTATATAGTTAATTAGTTATAAAATCAGATTCATCACTATAATTGTCAACATAATTTCAAATGGACAATTAATTGTTTAAACTTTGTTAAACCTATAAATTCATAATACTAGACCTATAGGAGAGATAGGGAGCTAAGGGGCTTTCTTGAAATATTCTTGCTCTTAATGCTCTGTATTTGAGTGCAACATTACACAAACTTGTAGACAAGCCCCAAAATGCTTCAAAAATATTCCTTGGAGGAAAATATCATTCTGGACAACAAAATTGGCACTATAAGCTTGAAGATAACATCCTAAATTGAATATGAACTTCCCTATCATGAAACACTTCCCATTACAATGTCCATGTGTGCAGTTAAAGAGCATTTAATGCGTTAAGAAAAATTTGTGTTGAATAGTCCCAAAGTTAGTTTGTGTACCTCTGATGTAAAACTTAAATTCTTATCTCCAGCAATTATGTCATCCAAGATGACAGGAAATTCAATCCCAGTTATGGGCTCAACAGCAAGCCCAGACCAATTTATGCTTCGAAAGAATGAATTAGTGCATCCATGATGATCATCATAACATGGAGTTTGATCCATTGACATCTGTGCTTCTGTAGTAGCAGCTTCCAAAGGAACTGCAAGTACATTCCTAGACCTGATTGCCATAAACAGCATGCATTATAACAAATAATCATTCCATAGTCTATAAATGTCATACAAATCAAAGGTTAATAGCCTCAATTTAAAACAGTTGAACAAATGAACTTACACACTTTCAAATGGAGGCACCAATATTGTTGCTAATGAGAGTGCAGGAATCAACTGAAGATATGTCGCTTCTTTAAATATATGCTTCATAGCAAACTCTGAAAATTTTCTTACTATCACTGGCATTGCAAATTTCCCTCTACAGCTAGATTTGGAGAAATGACTGCCAGAAGAAATTTTCTGCCATTCGATAAAAGACCCAGAGCTTCTGTATGATCCATGAGGATTTTGCGATATTCTCTTGTTGATATTTGTATTTGATGAACTGGCAACCCATAATACCAGGGAACCAGCAAAATTTTTGAAACAACTGAAAACTTCTTGAAGTGCCACACTTGAATTATCAACAACAGAGCTAATATGATTGAGTAAATTCATTCCAAAATTGTAATTCACCATTGGTTCCATTGGAAACATTTGAGATGGATCTTTATCAAAATCCATGAAGATCAAATACTGCTCCCAAATCACCACCTGTATGCAGGGACACGTAGAAGAATTCAGTTCAAAAAGCATTCTTAATGCAGCAGCAAAAGCTACTGGCACATTGTTTCGAGAAAGGAAGCATCGATCTACATACAAAAAAAAAAATATTCAATACGGAGTACTTAGTGTCAGGAATACAGCAGAAGAGTAACAGACAGATATTTGAACCCTGTTGCTTGGAATGAAGCCCACCTTAGCAATGTATTTGAAAAGTTAGAAAACTTATCCCACCACTAATATGCCATAGGAATGAAGTTTCCATAAGCGAAATAAACGAATTACCAAAGAAAGAATATGTGACTCCCAAAGATTCTCTCTTCTATAACAATCCTTATATTGAATCAATGAAGGCATGAACATTTTCCATCATTTCCAATGAAGCCAAAGATTTTCTATTTTTTGGCTTTGGGGTGTGTTGAAGTAGCAATTAGCCCATCATGGGTCCATGTTGAAACAACCCTTCTATGGACGTGATTACCTGTTGAGCCTCCCTACTTTCGAGTAGGGTAAGGTCTGCTTACACACAACCTCCTCAACTCCTGCTTTTGGGGGATTCAACTGGTTGTTCTTGTTGTTGCTGCAATGAAGGTACGAACATTTAAATAATTTATTCAAAAAGAAATCCTCATTAGAAGAACTTCTTCAGCTAATGGATCGCGATCAGAAATGAAACATTGCTAATGCATAAAAAAAGAAAAGCAAAATTCGAAAGTGGAAAGAAAACAGACCCGGAAAGGAATATTTCGGAATATTCTGAACGATTCAAAAGGTTTTTGTCACAGAAGGCAATAGGAAAGCTGTTTTTCCTCTTAGCGTTTTGTAGTTTCCGAGCGGTAAATCCAGGAATATATGCTTAGAAAACGAACAGGTAGAGAGCCGATTCCTTTGACTCGGCGGACAAAATCAGAAAAATTATACTCCATCAAGAACCATCTGATCTTGGTAGATTTTGTTAAGTGTTTTTAATATTAATTACCCCTTCGTCCTAGAATGTTTCTAGCGGTTATTGTCATATGGTCAAACACTAATCACTTTCTTTACTTATTTTTATTAGGTATTTGATAAAATAATATAGTCTTGTCACCACTTGCTTTGTTAAACTTTTGATGTAGTTTTTAAATATATAAATTTTATTTTTTAAATTTACACCTACAATCAAATAAATTGAATTGAAAATAAAGTTGGTCAAACCTCGTAAACAGAAACGATAAGAACATTATAGGACGGAGGGAGTAATACTTACTTCGGTGCGCTCCTAAATTTGATACTCCCTCGGTCCGAGAATGATGTTTCCATTTTTACTTTTCTTCATCTTTAAAAAGGTTTGACTAATAGCTTGAAAGGACTAAAATGCCCTTACAACTTTCAGCCTCACCACAACCCACCTTTAACTAGCAACCTCCACTGCCAGCCTGCCCACCTCCACTTACACCCACCACCACCCCACCTCCCACTGCCGCCGTCAGCCCATCATCTTTGCCAGTCCCCACCTCTATCTCCCACAGCCGCAAACAACGCTATATATTGGAGAGAGAGAAAAGGGAAAGAAAGAAAGAAGTGGAAGCAAGAGGAGGAGGATCTCTGTCGAAGATAAAGACACAGATCTACCACGACCACCGACGTCTACCCAACCATCGCCGCCACCATGGCACAGATCTAAAAGATACATCTAAAAGAAAGAATAAGGGAAAAGAAAAGAAGAAGTGCAGATCTAGACTCACCATCGCCATCACTGCCACCATCGCCGCCACCGCCACCATATACAGATCTAGAAGAAAGATGGATGAGAAAGAAGAAAGGGGGATAAAGAAGAAGAAAGACAACGGGGGAGAAAGAGAAGAGGAGGAAGAGGAGGAGAGAAGAGGAGATAGAAGAGGAGGAAGGTGACGAGTAGTAATTGGGAAAGAAAGAAGGAAAGGAAGGAAGAAAGGAAGAGAAAAAAAAGTGGTCGAGCCAAAAAAAGATGGAAAGAAAGGAAAGGAAAAAAGAAAGGAAAAAAAGAAGGAAAGGAAGGAATATGAGGGTAATTTTGGAAGAATAAAGAAAAAATGGTAGAATGGGAACATCATTTCTGGACGAAAAAAAGAGTAGAACGGGAACATCATTCTCGGATAGAGGGAGTAGTTCTTACCCTAATATAACCATCTCATAAACCCCTCACCCAATCCTGACTTCAACTATCTCCTACATATGTCAATTGTAGAGTACAAGTTTAAGGCTTGTTTTTACCTGATCTGATTAGATCTAATTGGTTTTGGTCTTATTTGATTGCAGTTGTACTTAAAGTTATTTCTAATCTGATCTAGTTTAATCTAATATGGTCTGATCTGATCTTATTTTAATAAAAATAAATAATAAGTAATAAGAATGGGTCGAGAGAACAAGCTCTCAGTTGACTTTGGGGTAAAAAATTATTACTAGCGAGTTCAAAATGAGCTTAATGAGAGAGCTAAACTTTTTCTTTGGCCTTCAAATCAAACAACTCAAAGATGAAATATTCATTAGCCAAAACAAGTATGCAAACGAATTGGTGAAAAAATTTGATCTTGATCCAGAACTCTAAAACATACTCCACTCCAATGAGTGCATCGGCAAAGCTTGACGTGGATGAGGCTAAAAACCAGTAAGGGAAACGTTTAAACCGGATATTATGTTTTATGTTTGCCTCTTTGTATGTTTCTGATCATCAACTAAAGAATTTCATCTAATTGTTGTCAAATGTATCATTCGATATATCAAAGGTACAATCAATTTAGGTTTTTAATATCCCAAAAATGTATAGCCAATCTAAGTTTGACTTGCTATAGTGATGCAAACTTTAGAAGGGATAGGATTGATCTGAGAAATACTAGTACATGTCAATTTTTAAGGCATGATCTAGTTTCTTGGTTTTCCCGTAAGCAATTTTCGGTAGTACTATTCATTGCAGAGGCGAAGTACATTGGAATAGGTAGCTGAGTAGCTCAAATTCTATTGATTTCTAAAACACAGAGACTACAATTTGAACTTTAACGATTTGCCAATATTTTGTGACACATCAAGTGTAATAAATATCTCCAAAAATCATGTCTTGCATTTTAGAATAAAACACATCGAGATTAGGCATCATTTTATACGTGATCACGTATCAAAAGGTGATTTGTGTTGAACATGTGAACACCCTTGATTGTTGTGCGGATATTCCTACAAATCCTCTCAAAGAAAATAATTTTTGCATATATATTACGGAGTATGAAATGGGAATGATTGAATTATGTTGATTTATTGGTTCCCATATATATATATATATATATATATATATATATATATATATATTACATACATATATGCATGCATGCATCCATACATATATACACACATACATACATACATCCATACATACAATACATTTGGCTTAGGGTTAAAACAAAGTCGATTCAAATAAGCATCGGAATATTTGGTCGGTAAGATGTATTGCCCAATGGTAGCCGAGTTACCTTTTTCACTGTACCTGATATCGTACTAACAAAAACTTCTAGAGAGTTTTGGCTTGAGACGGAACCCCAGGCGGCGGCAGCTGCCTTACCTCCTCAATTTTGCTCTTTGGTTTCTTCCTCCCGACCAACGACTCCTTACACATCTCTTGCTCAAATCATATCAATTCTTCATCAATCACCGAGAACTAAACACTTTTCTTGAAGCAAATGGTGAAATTGTATCTGCAAACACTCCAAGATTCAAAGCTTATAGTCATCTAAACATCATTGAAGGTAGGACTTTGAAATTATATGACATGCCAATTGAAGTCCTCCAACTTCTTCTAGAACAACATTGGAGCCATTTTCTTCAAATGTTTACCCCGTTTATTTATCTGAAGCTCGTAATAACTTACATCAAATGATAATTTTAGTGTAAGAAATCGAATACAAAATAAATGAATCATGGAAGAAGAGAGCATCGTAATAGAGAGAGAGAGAGAGAGAGAGAGAGTATGAGCGGCAGATGAAGAAAGAGGGTTTATGAATATATGAAATGGGACTGGTTGATATCTTGGGCCTTCTTTTGTAGACCTCTTATTTTGTTTTAATTTTTTTAAGTTGGTAGAAGTTAATATTAAATTTTATATTTTTTAATTTAAATATAAATTCTAAAAAACAAGAGTTATCAAATAAACAATGGAAGTTACTAAAGAAAACCATAAAATCTTGACGGTGTAAATATTTACATATAACTTTACGCTGGGGTTGGGGTGGGGTGGAGGGGCGGGGGTAGGATGGGGGTTTAGGGCGTGGATTAGGGGGGTAGAAACCGTCAATTTTGCGAATGGAATGCCGGAAGTGCCTCAAAATGACAGTGGTACCGCTAGTGTCACCAAAGGTGGGTGTCACTAGAACCCCACCGAACTTAAATTATGACGGATAAATTAATATAACTTAATAGTTATAATTAAAAATTATACCGCATGCATTGTTTAACATTTACTCCGTATATTTTTACATATCTCAATACAGAAAATGAGCATGGTGTTCATCATAAACAATCCCCAAGTGTCATGATCTCAACTTTGACACAGTGAATCTTTTGACCCATGTAGCAAAAATAATGATGGTACTTTTTAAAATTTTCCTATTTTGTAACATGCATTATGCTATATAAGGTCTCATTGTCTTTATCCACATTTGACTTTTGGAACTGTTCATCTAAACACTTTGACTCATCAAATTATCTTAATGTGTAAGCCTAAAAATAGTCATGTGTGATCTTGTTTGATTCGTCTTAACATATAGATTATTAATATATAATTTGTATAATTTTTTAATATACAAATTACAAGATAAAATGGATTAAAGAAGTGCATTGGATGGTGTGCCAAAAGGTAACTGGACAAACACAGTGGGACGGAGGGAGTATTCTACTCGGGGGTGATGTGATATGTTTCATGTATATGTTATAACAAATTTTAGTGTACATTGGACAATTAATTTATCGCCGTATTAGTATTTATGAATTGTTTTTATGTTTCATATTGTTTACGGCCAATTAAAATTCTCATCGCGCATCGCACAAGTTAGAAACTAGTTGTATGAATAAGAAAAAACTTCTTTTTAGGAGGGAAGGAGTAATTTAATGTCTCTATATTATTGAGCTGGTCAGTTGTTGATTCAACACCAGTTCATGTGGCGATTTTGTAAAGCACGGTCAAATTTCTGATTTATTATTTGTGAACCATTGGGTCACCATCGTGAAAGTTTACTTTTGTCGTTGATCTAGCATGTCTTGATGATCAAATGATTATTCGAAAACTATGATTGAATTTCCCAGGACCAAGCACTTTGAATAAAACAGTTACCCCAGCCACCCACCCACCCTTAACCCACCCAACCCCCCCCCCCACCCTCCCCGCAACAACGAAAGGTGTAAAAACAAAAGTTTGACAGTTGCGTTATGACCATTGCTAATTGCTAACAAACAATTGACAACACACAGGGGCGGCGGCCGGCCAACTAACTAAGATCCAACAGGGGCTATTCCTTTACTTTTGGCTGCAGCAGTAGCGGCTGCAGCGGCTGCAGCAGCCGCCGCAGCAGATGCTGCAGGACTAGGAGTTGAAGGAGGCACCGGATTCGATTTTGAAGTGGCACTCTGCACGGGAAACAACTGTTGCGGTTGATGGGTGGTTTGTTGAGAACCACTAACCTGTGAGAGTAGAGCCTTAATCTGGCCACCAGTTAGTGTCTCTTGCTCAAGTAACGCACCAGCAAGAGCGTGAAGTTCTTTGTTGTGTGTAGTGAGGATGGTCTTGGCATTGTTATAGGCATTCTCCAAGAACTCTTT